TATATATTTCAATGTGCAATCGCGCACGCAGATGGCCGTCGGACGAGAATTTCCAAAATATGACACATACCGGAAAAACCGCGCACACGAACACGCTCGACGTGCGTGTGCTGCAGCCCTTGCGCGGCTCGMAGTGTCGCTGACGGTCTGTTTTGCGCTGTTGCTGCTGCGACGCGACGCACGCGCCCATATATATATTGTAATTTATTTTTTATTTTAAATCGCCCTCAGCGAGACGTTGTTCGAAACAGTAAACAACAGTACTCTACTACGTGCATTCCTGGTGTTGCTGCTGATGTTGCTGCATCTTGGCCAGGTGCCGTGAGTACTCAACGTCCCACTGGGCGAAACGTTAATGGGCCGCAAGCGACTGATGGTTGCCGATCGGCGAGAGCATCGGCGGGCTGTGCGAGTGCGAGTGCGGTCCCATCGGCGAGCCGTGCATCACGTGGTCCTGATGGTGGTACGCCTGGTGCAGGCCCCCGTGGCCCATCGGGCCGCCGCCGCCGCCGCCGCCCAGGCCGCCGTCCATCATGCCGTTGCCGTCTTGCGGGCCGCCCATGGTGTTCGGCGGCGTCATGCGCTTCTCCTTCTGCCGCCGGTTGCAGAACCACACGCGCACCACCTCCTTCTCCAGCTGCAGCGAGTCGGCCAGCGTCGTGATCTCCTGCGCGGACGGCTTGGGCTGCTTGTGGAAGTGCTGCTCCAGCGCCCCCTTGACCGACACCTCGATGCTAGTGCGTTTCTTGCGCTTGCGGCCCTGCGCCGCGATCTTGTCGATGCTGGTCGGCGAGCCCGTCGTCGAGTCCGCCTCCTCCAGCCACTTCTGCAGCAGCGGCTTGAGCTTGCACATGTTCTTGAACGACAGCTGCAGCGCCTCGAACCGGCAWATGGTGGTCTGCGAGAACACGTTGCCGTAGAGCGTGCCCAGCGCCAGGCCCACGTCGGCCTGCGTGAAGCCCAACTTGATCCGGCGCTGCTTGAACTGCTTGGCGAACGCCTCGAGGTCGTCGGACGTGGGCGCGTCCTCCTCGCCGCCGGGCGACTGCGGGTCGTGCTGTTGCGGGTACGACGGGCTGTGGCCGTGCATCTGGACGGCCGGGTGCGTGTGGCCCAGCATGCCGTTCATCACGTGGTACGCGCCGTGGTGGCCGAGTTGCGGCGACCCGGACCCGCTGCCGTTGTAGTGGCCGGCCGACACGACGGGCGGCGGCGGACCAGAGTGCNGATAGTATGATATCAATAACAAAATATAGTCGATGCGTTGAGATCGGTTTGTTTTTTCAGTTCGGTTTGGGTCGCTTTGGGTAGACTTTCGGAAAACCGGTAAGAATTTTATGATAGTATTTGCTGTCTGCGGATTAATCCACTCGCGATACTATATAACGGCTAACTAAAATATACAGCACTTGGAAACGTGTGGGTGTGTGGGTGTGAGTGGTAGTGTGTGTGTGTGTGTGTGTGTGCGTACATGGCTGCCAAATTAGGTACATACCTATACTACGATAAAATTATTTTTGTACGGTGGAGATGATTTAGACGGAAAAAAAAAATTTAAAAGAATTAATCGAATTATATCACAGTGCGGATAGAAGATAGTGTCGACTGATGATGGCCTCCTCTCGTCCGTGTCTCGTACTCGGCGACGACTTTTCTCGTACTCCGGCACTCGGCGACGATTTTTCTCGTACTCCGGTACTCGGTGGCGACTTTTCTCGTACTCCGGTACTCGGCGGCGACTGTTCTCGTACTCCGGTACTCGGCGGCGACTRTTCTCKTACTCGGCAAATGACTGCTATCTCGTACTCTGCAATGATTTTTCTCGTACTCGGCAAATGAATTTTCTCTACGTACTCAACCGCGACGATTTTTCCGGTGACTTTTCGCGTATAATAATAATAATATAAATAAACTTCGACGACGACGATTTCCTGCTCGCGGGTGGGTCATCGTAATGCATTCATCTCGCCGTCTTGTATTTATTATTTATATAAAAATATATATTATTGTGCAGATTAGGTGCCGTTCGGTGGTGGTCTTCGTTAGTCTATGGCACACCATCTAGTCTCCATTATCGTGTAATCATTATTACAATTTTTACTATTACCGTCATCGGCACATCATATCCGTCTCATAGTCTTCTTTAATATACGCGTATATATATAATATGATATCAATTATTATATACACA